TAAAATTAAAAGCAAATGATAAAAATACTACTAGAATTAAAAAATGAATTCAACAAAGTTGCAGGACACCAGATCAACACACAAAAATATCAGTTATATTTCTTGCTGAAGGCCAGCTTCAGCTGAGGTAGTGAGGGTCTCCTGCAGGAAAGTATGGCATCAGCGTAGAAAAAAGAGAGAGAGAGAGAAAAGATGAGGTAGATATATGAGGAGACGCAGACACCTGTTTAGTGAAAGCATCTCCTTCTGATTATCCCAGCAGGTCTTTATTTATACATTACAAGCAAGCAGTGTGATTACATCAGTGTGTGCATAAAGTAGAAAGCTTAACAATCATCCATTTTTCTTAAAGACAGCTCGGAACTTTTTGATCTCTTATTGAGACTATGATATTCATCATTCATTAATTAAAAGTACAATTGATACACAAGATGTTCCTATAGTGACCAGTCACTAATAACATATTCCTATGGTAATCAGTCATCAAACAAAATTTTCCTATGTTGGTCAGTTAACAGCCCCTAAGGAAAAATCCCTTTTTTGATCCATAAAAGGAGCTACTATTAATCACTATTTTTGCAATTGTTCTATCAACCTAGTCTCTATCTAACATAAGAATTAGGGGGAAATTTCTTTCTTTATGGTCATTAGTTATTGTCCTATTAATCTTATCTAAAAAACCTTTCTATGTGAAAAGAGGTCAGGGTGAAAGAAAGAGTTGGAAAACTTATTATTATTTATAATTCTATTATGTAACATGAAACTGTTACTTGAAACTATAGATCTTTTATTGGGGACTGGGCAGAAAATTATTACAGTTTTTGGTCCCAGAATTCTTGGACCATGACATGTCTCTAATTATTGTGGGACCTAGATTTGTGCCAGCCCTCTCAAACAGAGGAATATTAATTATTTTATAATATACTGTGCCATTCTGTGTACAATGCTATTGCTATTGAACCAATCAATCCAATTAAGTAATTAATTGATTCTATATTGAATATATATTTGCACAATTGCTATGCTTCTTGGGGATGGCCAAAAACAAACCATACTTTTTAGAAACAGCCATAAACAAATGAAAAGAATCCAGCAGGAACCAGCTGTGGAATATTCTGACTTTTCAGGATTTTTTTCCCCATGTCAGGATCTTGTCATACAACGTGGTACCATAGCTCTCGCCAATTTCTTTTACACAGGCAATGATACCTCTGTAGAGGAAATTACGAAGAATATTACATTAGAGACAGAATGGGGTGCAGAACAGGCAGATTAATAATATACTTTGTAATAACGTTCACCAAGAAAGTGAAAGACTTCCAAGAAGGTATGTAAAATGCTGAAAAATAGATATTCTATGTGAAAAGATACCTTGTGTATATGGATTGGAAAATTTAATATTGTACTTCCCTAAACTTACAGGTGCAGTTTCAGCCCTTTTAAAATTCCGATTTTATAGAAATAAAAAATCTAGTCCTTAAGTTCATGTAGAATTTTAGTGGATCTCAAATAATCAAAAAGATACTGAAAAAGGATAAAAAAATTTCAGGATTCATAATTTGTGACATTAATACTTACTACAAAGCTATAGTAATGAAAAGAGTATGGTATTTCCATTAAATAGAATCTAGCCCAATAAAAGAGAAGATACACAGATGGCCAATAAACCCATGAAAAGATGTTCAATGCTTTTAGTTATTTTGGAAATGCAGATCAGATCCACCAGACACAATTAACATAACTATTATAATAATGAATAATGATTAAGACCTCCCTGGTGGTGTAGAGCTTTAGTTTTAGGGCTAACACGGCATCCACACACAATAGCCTGTGTTCCGTACAGCCAGGGATCTGACCTACATGGCACAGCAGACATCACCTGTCTCTCCCACTGCTCCACCCCAGCAGTCCATTCCAGCCAATCTGCCTGTTCTGTTCCTTACTCTGTCTTTTGTGAATCTTCCCACACCCTATCTGCCTACATCCTAGTTCTTCTATGCAAAAATAAATTTTAAAAAATGTATAATAATTATTAAAAACTAGAAAATAGGGTTATCCCTAGTGCCACAAGTTAAAGCACCGCATTATTAAGCTGTCCGAAGCCACTGCAGCATGAGTTCGATCCCCAGCCAAGGAGCTGCCACATGGTGTGGCAGACCTCTTTTGACCTGCCCACTGTTCCCCTAAGCAGTGTACTTTTGTCAATCTGTCTGTTATGCTCCCTACTCTGTCTCTAATGAATCCTCTTACTGCCCCCTGCACCACTGGCCTGTACCCCAGTTCTGTAAGCATAAATAAATAAATAATAAAAAAAACTGTAAAATAAAAAGTGCTGACCAAGATATAGAGATATTTGTGTCCTTGAGTGTGGCTGATAGGAATATAAAGTGTTGTACCAGCTGTGGAAAATAGTTTGGCTGCTTCTCAAAAGACTAAATATATAATTAACATATGGTCCAGCAGTTTCACTGGTAGGCATGTACATAAACTCATTGAATAAAAATATTCTAAAAATATCTGTCCATACATGCTCATAC